TCAACAGGTTTGGTGAACACACAGCCGTCTCTGCCACACTACTACTGAAGCACAGGTTTTTATCCTGTCAGAACACTTGACAGCTCTCAGAAGAGTTTCAATGTCCTTCCGTCTGGTGGTAGCAACCATCAGTTTTCCAAAGGTTTCCCTGCCTGGCCCAGGCTCCTCCAGCCTCTTCTCCCAACTCCTAGACCTTGATCCTCGCCCACCCTACCCTGTATGAACCACCGACCTTCCTGGCGCTGCTTTCTCAGATGTTCTCAACTCATCCTCTGGGCTTTTTGCACTCTGCACCAGGGCAACAAAATGCACTTCTAAACCCCATTTCTGAAGGCAGGAGCTGCCTAAAGTGGGGCTGGACATGCAGAAGGCACACAGACGATACTTTCGATAACTTCATCAAAAACTGAAGACCAATGATGATGCTGGGGCCACGGGGACGGAACCTATCAGCACACCTGAGATTTAGTCATTTGTAAAACCTAGAGACATTCAGGAGCCCATGAGGAGACGAAAAGCTGAGACCATGGGCAGCGGGCAGGCCCAGCATCAGCGTGGACTGCTCTGCACACCAGTCTCCATTCTCATTTCCAGGGCACCAGGTTCAGTGGGACATCAGGAAGTTCCTCCAGAGGTATCGGAGGTGCCCACCTGCTGGTTTTACACCTTCATCTTCAACTGCCAAGTGCTTCCTCTGAGGCAGATTGAAATTTGGGAACCATTAAAAAATTTTTTTCCTTTAGGCTCTAATGACCAAATATTAAAAAATTAAATTAAATTAAAAATTAAAGACAGAATAAAATCCCACATTTTTACCAGATCTACTTTTATTTTAGAAGGAAGTTTGTAGTATAGTATTTACTTTTGTTTATATACAAGTTCTTCACATTTGTGTTTAAAATGCAGACCTCCCTTAATTCTCTTGTTCCCGCTTAAATTAGCTGTTATTTTACAATACAAAAAATACCAAAAAATTGCAGTCCTTAAATGTATGTATAGTACCCACAATCCTCAGCAATGAAATAGTTTACAATACTTACTCCATATTTACATGAGTGCAATAGATGCTAAATTATACATATTAACAAACTAAGCTTGAATCCAAACAAACAAAAATGTAAATAATTATAGAACAAAACATTTTCAAAGCCAGAATTAGTTCAATGAAACAGGCTTCACTAGTGTTCAGAATGTTTTGTGCCCAAATTCAGTTACTGGAAGTCACTTCCATTATTGCCTTTAAAAGAGAAGGCGCCAGTTTTCGTCTGCTCTCCAGATCTTTTCCCTGCAGGCAAGGGTGTTATTAGTTTGAACCACTCAGGGACATGTCTCCTGGTGGGCCTGGCTATCTACAAACCTTCACCATGACTTCTGAGGCCGAGTTTGGTACACTGGGTAAACATTTCGGACTGAGAGCTGGTGCACAGCCGAGGACAGCCCTTCTGTCTTCCTGGGTCTGTTCTCAGGATGGCCAATTCTCACAGAATCCCTAAGGAAAGATCTCCTGGCTGATGGGTTTGGGAACTGGATTCTGTTGTAATTCTGGAGCGGCTTTTTCATCGCAGTCACTGCCCTAGCATTAGCTTAGGTTGTTAATAAGTGCTTAGTGAGTATTTGTTGACTGGATGAATGAAACGAAAGGATCGGAGGTGTTCATGACAAGGGCACCCCCTTCAAAGACATGAATCACTCCCACCCCTACCCAAATGCACTCCCTAAGTTGAAGGAGTGAGACTTGCACTGAAGGTAAAATGTCTTTTTCTGATAGTGCTCTGGTCTCTTCATTTGCCCCAGATTTCCTGGTGTCTCTAATCTTGCACCTCAGGCCTCATCACAGATATTCCCATGTTTCCCTTTTGCTGCCAGTCTTCGATGCCGAGCTGCTTTTCCTCTGGGATCGCCCGGGAAAGTAGGAGCTGCCTTCTCTCCACACCTCCTCCCATCTTTTGGAGGCGATCCTCAGAGAGAAGCACAGACTTCTTTCGAAGCTGTTTGTATAAGGGAGTAGGAGAGGGCAGGAGGGCAGGGTGTGTGCGATTCTCCATGGGGAAGCAGGAGCTACATATCAACAAACTACCCCACTCCCATCTACTGTTTCCAGTACAGTGAACTATGGTCTTTGGAAATGATCACTAAAAATTTAGACAAGACCACAACAAAACGCAGCCTGGAAAACCCCTTTTTCAGAAAAGCTGATTCTACAGGTATAATCTTTGAACTTAAAAAAGATTTTGAGAAACATTTCTCATGATGAAACTGGCTGTTCTGGCCACCCACAGCACCCAGAGGCTGACAGACTGATTCATGATGCACTTGCAGAGCCAACAATAGCGACAGAGATTCCCGCTGCCTTTCCTCGTGTACTGCCGCTTAAATGAACTCACTGCCAGCTTCCATCTGAGTACTGACAGATGACCCGGGTCCTCTGGGGTATTCTATTGATTCTAGATGCATTGAATATCGAATACATCAGCATGATGGGGGTGTACTCTCTGGCTTTGTTATCGGTGCTTCAGGGCTGACAACAGGACTTCTCTGAACTTGGATATCCAGTATATGGCACAAAAACACATTGGGTGAAACTCAGATGCCATAAATTTAATAAAAATACATTGAGATATTTTTCTGTTTTATGTACACTCTGAATGCCTGAACATTCTGGACTACTGTATAGTTATGTACAAGTGCAATGTGAAGGTTGTCATGACTACTTTAATTTATGTACAGGCTCTCCTGTGACACGCAGACATCTCTGAAGTTCCAGGTGATGCCCTCTTGGTAACTGGCTCTAAGCGAGTGCCTTTTCTCCTGCCACCCCCTTCCTCTGGCCGAGCCTGGGGGAAGCCGCTTGCTATGGGCTGCAAAAGAGCAGCAGTGGGTTTAGCTGCTTCTCCACTGAGGGAGCAGAATTACACTTCATTTGCTCTTTTCTTCTGTTTTAAAACAAAACATTATCTTTTAGGAAAAAATAAATAAATAAAACCAGGTGGCTGTGGGACTGGAGCATGTTCTTTCAAGGCCTGGGACTCCTGAGGGGAAGGGACTTCTCTGGCCAAGGGCACGTGGGTCCTCAGAATAAACAAGGATGTCCCTGTGGTAGGATCCTCTGCAGTGCCTCCCTCTGGGCCAGTCACAGAGGTGAAGGGCCATTCAGGGCAGGCGCTCTGTGGGTGTGGACAAGCTCCCTGTGAGTGCGGACACCTGGAGAGCAATGTGGGGAGTTCAGAGGTTTTTTTCTAGGACCATCTGCTCTTTAACAGTGATGGGAAAACACAGCTTTTGAGAGGCAAGTCTCAGAGTAGAGGTGTTTTGTGCACCAGACAGTATTTTATGGTTCAGCTTCTTTGAAAACATCTTCCCAGGCCATTCTTCACGGGAGTGGGTCGGTACTGGGAAAGAGATAATACTCCCTCTCTAGGCACTGCATTTAAAGGTGAAATGCCGCAGTTTTTGCTCTTTTGACTATTTTTCCAAATTCACAAACTTGAGCATTGTTGTGTAGGGGCCCATCCCCAGGCTCTGAAGCAGGAGAGGTCTTGGGAGGCTGCTGCATAATGCCAGAGAACAGAGCACCGTGGGCGGACAGCCCGGTCCCAGGCAGTGCCCTGGGAGAAACGCCGGTGCTCCCACCCCGCTTACATTTGGTCACTTTCCATTTGGCGTAGTTTTCTCTCATCCATTTTTTCCATGTGCTTTTCATCCTGTTAGTGTTCACTGCCTTCCCAGGGCCAGCACCTGGGCCTGGGGTGGAGGGGTGAAGCGCCCAGCCCCAGCAGGGGGAAGGTCCTTCCTGGGCGGCGGTGTGCCATCCAGGAACAGGGTTGCTCTTTAACAGGTGCTGCCATGCTCTTCAGCTCAGGGAGACACGTGCCACAGTGAGTCCTTTCTTCTGTGGAGCCCTGGCAGCAGGAGGTTAGAAAGGCTGAAGCAAACGCCAGGTCGAGAGTGACCTGGGGGCAGGGGACACATGGGGATCACGCCTACTGTCCTTACGTCAACAGTAACAACAAGAGCTTTTAGTTAGGTCATTTCCGCTCTCCTCCCAGTCCTTGCTGCTGGGATAAAGGTTGCTTGGGGTGAGAATTCTTTCCTGGCTGCAAAGTACATTTTAGAAAAAAAGCAGATTGCCAATGGGACTATTTAAATTCTGTAAGAATGTAGGAATGCAATTATGAAAAAACTTAAGCTTACTAACTTTCCAATTGCTAGATCTATTTAAAGTCTAGGCACTTAGTGTGTGTGTATGTGTGTGTTTGTGTGTGTGTGTGTGTGTGTGTGTGTGTGTGTGTGTTGAGAGAAAAAGAGGAATTTCAAATGGATTAAGACCTAAATTAACCAAGTTGCTATAGAAAACTACTTATCACACCAATTTACATTCTAAGTAACACTGCTGACCTTGACATTTAAAATAGCCCCCTTCTATCTCAGTTTAAAATGATTCAAAAGTGACATTAGTTCTCAACTAGAAAAAAGCTCCCTGGAAGAGAGTTATCTGCCTAAAATGTGCAAGAATAAAGAGCACATCTTTTTAAAAAGATGGCATGTTTCAGATGACAAGTTCATTCATCTAGCCAGTTTTGAAAAAGACCTTGTTCCAGAATGACAGATGATACACGTTTACTTGTAAACACTACAGCTTTGTGTTTTTGCAGTTGAGACAGTCCCAAGACCAGTTTCCCACAAGTAAACCTGAGTATCATCCCTAGCTCTCTCACTGGCTCCACACTGGCCTCCTCCAGCAACCTCTGGATCATCCCTGGACCTGTAAGTAAATTAATTATTCCCTATGCAAAAATAAAGGTTAGATGCTGGAGCACAGATGGGAGAAACTGTCAAAGAAAGCTTGTGAACATGCAGATGAGTCGATGTTTCCAGTCGGAGGGTTTCCAGTTTTTTGCCCTGCTCCACTCAGCACAGCGCCTCCTGCCTGCTCCCTCCCTGCAGACTCCAGCACGCCACTTGCCTCCATTTGCTCACTCACAGACTCCCTGGCCCCAGCATCAAATGCAGGTCCCAGGCTGCGCAGGGGGCTGCTGCTTCCGGTTTCTCAGTGCTCCCAGCTTCTCTTTGTACAGCACTGGCAAGTGCTGAGAAATGTCCACCAGGGCACTGGCTACTGCGAGACCTTGGGAGAACCCACAGAGGGAACACATGTTAAGGAGTAGCTTGCCTTTATTTTCAAAAACAAATTGAAAAAATCTGTTTACATTTCCACAGTGCAATAAACAAAGCAATAAAGTATGTAGGGAAGTCTTACTCGCACTCTGCCCTTTCCTCCACCCGTCCCCTCACCAGCTGAGAAACTGCTTTCATTAGTTTGCATATATTCTTTCAGGGTTAAGTTATACAAATACAAATACGTATTCTTTGCCCCTCCCTGGTTACACAAAAAGGTATAGCCTGCCTTTCAGATCAGTCAAGCCAAGTGCTCTGCGTGGTGGTGGGAGCATTTAGTATGATTGCAGACATACTCTAAACACTAAATTTCTCCTCCTGGCCTCCAAAGGGAGGCCAAGGAAAAGCAGCTCTCTTTTTTAAAAATATGTTTTTATTGATTTCAGAGAGGAAGGGAGAGGAAGAGAGATATAGAAACATCAATAATGAGAGAGAGCCGAAACCGGTTTGGCTCAGTGGACAGAGCGTCAGCCAGCGGACTGAAAGGTCCCGAGTTCGATTCCCGTCAAGGGCATGTACCTTGCTTGTGGGCACATCCCCTATAGGGGTGGTGCAGGAGGCAGCTGATAGATGATTCTCTCTCATCGATGTTTCTAACTATCCCTCTCTCTTCCTCTCTGTAAAAAAAAAAAAAAAAAAAAAAAAAAAAAAAAAAAATCAATAAAATATATTAAAAAAAATAATCAGAGAGAGTCATTGATCGGCTGTCTCCTGCATGCCCCACACTGGGGATCGAGCCAGTAACCTGGGCATGTGCCCCAACCAGAAATCAAACAGTGACCTCCTGGCTCATAGGTCAATGCCCAACCACCAAGCAACACCGGCTGGGCAAGCAGCATTCTTTACACTGTAATTCAGATTCATTCCACATGGCCCAGCCAACAATAGTGATTTTTAAAAAAACATGTTTTTATTGAGTTTAGAGAGAGAGAAAGGGAGAGATAAGATACATCTATGAGAGAGAAACAGATTGGCAGCTTCCTGCAAACACTCTACTGGGGATTGAGCCCACAACCTGGGCATGTACCTGATTGGGAATCGAACCAGTGACTTCTTGGTACATGGGTCAACACTCAACCAACTGAGCCACATGAGCTGGGCCAGCACTAGTGATTTTTATATCTATACCATGATACGGGTTAGGGCAGACTCTGCAATAAGTAAGGTTCTTTAATCTCCCTGTGCCTCTATTTCTCCCTTTATAAAATGGGGAGTAATAACACAGGGCTTGTGTGAGGAGTCAATGAGTGAACTGAAGTATCCTTACAATGCTGCTTGCTCATCACCACCCTACTCTGCTTTAGAGCCTAGTGGTTCCAGTCTCCTTTTTGGCTGGAAACCTTTAACTGATTTCATCTGGGGAAAGGCCAGCCCAGGTCCGAGTGGGGCTGAGCCCTCAGGAGCCATGCTGACAGACTTGTTGCTCCATCTCATTGAGCCTACAAAATGGGGAATGGTTTTTCAGTGGTTTTTCAGTGCCAGGCTTAGTGCCTGGAATTCAGTGGAGAATCCAGTAACAACAGCTGTACCAAAGGCAGAGCCAGGTGCTCTGGGAGGCCAGTGGACACCCTCTAAAATGGGGGTAGAGAATGAATGGGGTCTCAAGCAGTGGATCATCAGGAGTTGGGGGGAAGGGGAAGGCCGCACATCAGGAAGTTTGGTGCAGGAAAGGCCGCAGTCTGTCATCTCCTCCCCACCCTAGCCAGCACCCCGCCATCAGGGAGAACTGTCCAATGTGGTGGCAGAAGACACAGCCATAGTGTCTTCCAGTCAACAGTCATCATGCCCTCAACATGGGCAAGTTAGGGGCCCAACTCACTGAAACCCCCAGGTGAGGGCAAATCACGCTCTTCCCTAGGAAGTGGAGGCAGAAACCCTGGCCTGGCCATGCCTAAAGGACACCCCAGGCGCAGACCATCTAAAAGCTGAGCGGGAGGCTCTTCTGGTTGTGTTCGGGGTATGGAGCTCAGGCCTGGGCAAGCAGTCTGCTCACACTTTCCTCTCGGGCTTTTTTTTGGCTGAGGTAACCCTGACCCCAAGAATAATCTCAACTTTCAGTTGTCTAAAACATTCATATTGTCTGAGGCATTCCTCCAAAGTACTGCATGGTTAATCAAGATACCGCAAAACTATACTCCTTTCCTTCATGTTCAATAATGAGAAAATATTTATCTAAATTATGACCCATGTATTTGATGGAATAGTATAAAAGAGATTGGTAAAAGATTATGTAGTAAGCTGTTAAAATGTTTATGAAAGTTATATGAAAAAAAGAATAAAGTAAGAACGACACAAACATTTCAACTAACAACAGAACAGTGAAAATTAATGGGTGTTGGAGAGGAGAACTCTAAGTTTTCAGAAACTTCCTTTAAATTGTTATAATTGCTGTTTGTGCCTTCTATTAAAACAGAGTGAAAAATGCCCTGGCCAGGTAGCTTAGTTGGTTAGAGATACACAAAGGTTGTACATTTGCTCCCAATGAATGCATTAAAAATTTTTGGAACAACAGAATGATATTCCTCTCTCTAAAATAAATCAATTAAAATGTATAAAACACAGTGAAAAAGCAAATGAAATGCAGTAGTTCTGGAAATACCAGCTTGAAAATCACCAGCGTGGAAGAGCCATGAGTAGGTAAGATGACTGAGAGAGTAAGAGTGGAGGAAGAGGAAGAATGCCTACATTTGGGGGCAGAGGAAGGAGAGACAGGAAAGGAGCAGGAAGGCCAGAGGAGGCCAGACACACTGTAGGCAAAGGAAGGTGTGGTAGGAAGCATCAGGATCACTGGGAAGCGGATGCAGTGAGGTGAGTTCTGGACTTCCCCCTGGGAAGGACCTCAGGGAAGACAGTGAAGGAAATCCAGTGACAAAGGAGTTACCTCACCAAATCCTCATAACGGCACAAGGCAGGAACTATTCACGTTTATACTCAATTTCTCTAAAAGGGAAGGATCCCTCACTGACCCTCTGGTCTACTCACCGGACTGTCCAGGAGGAGGGATTCCACCAAGGCCTCGAGGGAGCCTCACAAACGCAGAGAGGACAGCAGCTTTGTAGTAAAAACATGGCTCCAGGGCAATGGGTTTGGGGACAGCCTGGGGAAGAAAAGAATTAGCTAGAGAGGTGTTTCTCATGCTTTAGCTCTGCAGTCTTCAAATGTGATTTTGTAAAGATGCCCTCTGTATTAGTTCTTGTTGGTGTGTGACACATTATTAACTTAGCTGCTTAAAATAACACATCTATTATCTCCATTTTGTAGGTCAGAAGTCCAGACAAGCTCTGTAGGGTTTTCTGCTAGGATAGAGGACTATTCATGTCTTCCTTCAGTTCCAGAAAATTCTTAGCTTTTATCTGACAAGAGTCTCAGCTCTTATCTTCACAAGGAGGAAGTCAAGTATCAGCTGGGCTCTACTCTTATCTCAGGCTCTGGGGCAGAATCTGCTTCAAAACTCATTCAGGTTGCTGGCGGAGTCTAGCTCCTTGGGGCTGTAACCTGAGGTCCTCACTTCCTTGCTAGCTGTCAGCCAGGGCCACGCTCTTCTCGTAGAGTCTGCCTGCATTCCTGCTCCTGTGGCCTCTCCAGCTTCAAACCAGTGATGATCCGTCAAGTCCTTACCATGTTCTCTCTGTGCCACCAGCCAGAGAAAACTTTTCTCATAGCTTAAGGTCGATTACCTTGGGGCTTTTATTACTTCTGCAAAATCCCTTCATATCTGTCCCTAGAGTTTAACTAAGCATGAGACAGGAATACTGGGGCCGCCTGTAGAATCCTGCCCACCATACTCCCAAGCATGTCAGCAATCTCTTCTGTTTGGCTGAAGAAATTAATTTCCAGAACCGCCCTGGCAGTGGCACAAGGAAATGACTGGATGGTGAAACCAGTTATAAGCAATTACAATAATCCAAGTGTGAGATGACAGTGGCCTATACCAAGATGGGACCCCTCGGGAGATGACCAATGAGATCCCTCGGGGGATGTCCGATTGCTGACTAGGCCAGCAGTTGGACATCCCCTCTCATAATCCTGGACTGATGGCTCCTAATCACTCATTTGCCTGCCAGCCTGGCTACCCCTAACTGCGCCCCCCATTGGCCTAGTTGCCCCACACAGCCTGCTTGTTCAGTTGTTTGGTCATCCCTCACTAACCCTCTGCCAACCTGGTCATTGGTAGCCATCTTGTGAGGGTGTGATGGTCAATTTGCATATTGCCTCTTCATTATATAGGATCACTGTTTTCACAGTGGCTGCATCATTTTTACATTCCTAACAGTGCATAAGGGTTCCAATTTTCTCCACATTGTAGTGACCTATTTTTGCTCTGGGTGATTTTAAGATGTTCTCTTTAAAAAAAATGTTCTCTTTGTCTTTAGAGTTCTATAGTTCCAGTATGATAAGTACAATTGTACATTTTTTCTCTTTTGCTTTCCCTTTGCTTTCTTTCCTTAATCCTGCTTGTGATATGTTTTGCTTCTGAAATCTGTATATTCATGACTTCTATCATTCTGGAAAATTCTGTTGTTATCTCTTTGACTTTTGCTTCCCTCCATTCATTTGTTTTGGGACCCTGATAATATATATGTTAGATCTTTTCATTCTATCCTCCATATTCTTATTATCTGTTATATTTTCCATTTCCTTGTCTCCTATCTACATTCTATGTAATTTCTTCAGATTCATCTTCCAGTTCAAAAGCTCTGTCCTCATTTGTGTCTGACATGTAAACTGTTCTGTTTGACATGTAAAGTGAGTTATTTAAAAAATTTCTACTACTATACTTTCCATTTCTAACAGTTACATTTGGTGGTTTTTCAGATCTGCTTGGCCATTCTTGACTCTCATGGCTTCCTCATTGTTATGATTCCATCTTTCATTTCTTTAAACATTTAATACATAGCTATATTATATCCTTTAGATATCAATTCAAACATTTAATAGTCCTGTCTAAATCCACCTGCTGTCTCTTATTCATGAAATGTGTTTCTCTTGTCCGTGGAAATCACTTTAGGTTCTGATTTTGGTTTATGACTTGTTCTTCTTGGAAAAGGAAAAAGAGAATGGTCCTTGAAAATATTACCTACTTCCTGTGAACTTAGTCATGTTTTAATAGTATGTTTTATGCAGGACATATGGCTGTTTTACTAATGTATCTGAAATATTCCATCATTTTGTTAAAAGATATTTCTTTTACTTTCCTCATCAGTTCTTGGGGGAGGAGTCAGAAATATTTACTTTACACAGAATTCATAGTGAATTATGATTCTGTCCCTTTAAAAACAAAGCCCTCCAAATACTTATAAAGAATAATGGTTCAATTTAGCTTCTTTTAAGTTTTAAAATATTAATGCCATAGAATATCAGACAAATCATTTATATTTTAAAATCCTTTAAACATGAGATTGCTTAGTGACATGAATCAAAGGCTGGACAACAAAAGCAAGAGAATAAACTTTGGTGTGCTGGCTTATTGTAAAAAGGAAAGAGAGAGGAAAACAAGAGGCAACACATTAAAGTTCTTTCTCTCTCAGGTTTCCCCGACTCAGAAGCATGAGTTTGACAAATTAAGTTATAGGGACTTTGTAATCACATTCTTACCTTTATAGTCCCCCCAATAAGATCAGGAGGCTCTTCATCTGTTTCCAGGGCAACATTTACAGAGGCAAAGGGACGACTGGCCATCTGCTGCATCTCTCGCAGAAGTTGCTGATGAGTAAAATAGCAAGCATTACTGCAATGAGTACTGAGGGAATTTTATTAGAGAATACTACATATTAAAAATATCCCATCCTCCCTGATTTAAACACATCAAACCCCAAATATTTTTAAAATAGTCAGGGAAAGTTAGACAAAGACCATGTACATTAGGAATTAGTTAACATTAGGAGTTACTAAATCCTGTTGGATGTGGTTAACAGTACTGTCATTATAAAAAAAAATCCTTATCAGATATATGTATGTATGCACTTTAGTATAGATATAATGTCACAATACGTCTGTTAAATACATAAAATAAATTATATAGCCCTATCCCACACTTATTTATTTATTTATTTATTCTGTTAATCCTCACCTGAGGACGTTTTCCATTGATTTTTAGAAAGAGTGGAAGGGAGTGGGAGAGACAGAGAGAGAAAAATCAATGTGAGAGAGATACATGGATTGGTTGCCTCCCCCATGCACCAACCAGGATGGGGATTAAACCTGCAACTCAGGTATCTGCCCTTGACCAAGAAATAACCTACAACCCTGGTGTATCAGGACAATACTCTACCTGACTGAGCTACCTGGCCAAGGATGATTTAGGACTCTTAAAACCTCCCATCATATCCTTTGCTCTGAAACAGTTTATATGTCTTGAAAATAATTCTCATAAGTATATAAAAAAGAATAGAATATTATTATCTCTATGAACTCATCTTAAAATAGAAACTCCCTGAGTCTAATGACTTTTGCGGAGAGAGTAATATATTGACAAGTTTTCAATTCCTTCTTCCCTGGTTATTAGTTTATTGTGGCTCTAACTTTTTTCTTATTCCATTTGGATGACTTACATTTTTTCAGAACGTTGTACAATTCATTGGGATTTTAAAATATCCTAGTAACAGAGCTATTAAAGAATTCTCTGAATATGTTACCCATTGATTTTTAAAATAACAAAGAGGATGCAACATTTACTTCTATGATAACATCACCTTTACCTGGGTCAGAAAAGGTGTCATGCTCCCAGGAAAAAGCCCATATTCTGGAACCTATCTCAACCCCATCACAGACACTACTGCTCTATGATCAGTGCTGAGTGCTTATGAATTTTGGTTTTAGATATTCCCATTCTCTTCCAAATCTTGACCATAGATCAGTTTTTATATAGAAAAAGGCACTAGTAGATACAGAAAACAAAGCACATGTAAGGCGAGGTCTCAGTGCATTTTTATTAGCAATAATGCAATAGACCTGATGACCAGAAGGCAGAGAATTAACAGTGAAATTTGCAATAAACAAAGTTCTTATGTTATAATTTTTAAACAAGTGTATTTATTTGATTTGTTTAATGTAAATATTTGTTTGACTTCTTACTTTTGTAACGGAGCTCTGGAAATAAATCAAGATTCATAAAAAAAATAAAATTCAAGCCAAAATCTAATTAGATACACATTTATCCTTCCTTGAAATATGAGAAATTCTTAGATCTCCAGTACCAGGGTGCTGGTAGGATGGGTAAAACTGGCATCTGTTTAAGTCAATACAGTTTCCTTTTAGAAAGCTGAGACCATGTGGGGCAGAATTAATGACACTGATGTAGCAGTAACTGAAGTCTAACCGACCTCCCGCTGGACCTTTAATGGAATGGCTCATCAGGGGCTTATCCCAAATAAGGAAAATAATTCTAACAAAATTATGACAGATAATAAGTCTGTCCGTGAATATGTTCATCAATGATCACTGAATAGCTAATGCTGACACTTGCTTAAGAGAAATATGTAGAAAGGAAAAGCTCTTACAAGGATTCATTAATCTTTATCCACTGAGGCTTACCTCTCTGCGCCTGGAAGCCCAACAACTTTGTTTGATCTTCCAAACCACAGCAGCCACCAGGAGCAAAGAGAGGAAACAACTGTGAGAAAGGAAAGTATCAAATTATTATCCCAGCCCCCAGAATCAGCACCATTGTCTCCATATTCCAGGCCAGACAAGTAAGCAATTCCTCAGATACCACCCCAAGCTCCTCTCTGATGAGTAATCACAACCATGTTCCGGTTCACAGGAAAGCAAAGTGTGAGGGGCCCTGATAAACTGAGCTTCAGACTTTACTGTACAGTCCCACCAGGTGCTCGGAGGGATCCCCACCTCCCACTGGACCTTTAATGGAATGGTCATCAGAGGCTTATCCCAAATAAGGAAAATAATTCTAACAAAATTATGACAGATAATAAGCATGCTACTTAATAAAAATTAACAAATGTTCACTGTAAGATATAAAAATAGGAAAAAATAATTTTTAAAATAACTTTTTATAAGGAAGAAGTAAATATAGAAGAAACAAACTTATGTATAATAATATATATTCAATTACATTTTTACAAAGTAAATGCATACATTTTTGTAAAGTAGAAGGATCATTCTCAAGCTAACAACTTTCTCTAGGAGAGACTAACTCCCAGTGGCCAGTGCTCTCCCAATTGTAAACCAGGAACTCAATAATTTGAAAGCTACTGTGATAGCAGAGAACTGACTTCTGATAAAAGGATTAATAAGCTGAAGAACAAATATATCTCTAAAGTAATTGTTAAAGTAATTTAAAAACTCGTGTTCTTCCAACTAGTATGTCTCGGTGGTTCAACATGGACCCAGGATTCAAGAGGTCACTGATTAGATTTCTAGGCAGGGCATATGCCCAGGTTGCAAGCTTGATCCTCAGTAAGTAGCCTGCACGAGGCAGCTGATCGATGATGTTTCTATCTCTCTAAAAATAAAAAGTAAAATCAATAAAAACATATTTAAAAAAACAACACCGGTGTTTTCACTCACTAACTTGTAAAAGGGCTTGCCACTGAGTTTTGTTCCAGAGTGTTATACACAGACTTGATGCTCTTGGCCTGTGCCACCAGATACCCGCTTGCTGAGCTTTGTGTTTGCAAAATGTCGTGAAAAGCAGCCTCAGTGCCCCCAAGTACTGACCCCAAAGCAGACCTCCCAGGCTGGCTGGAGAAGGGACTCTAATATGTTAGGATGATTGAACTTTGGTCTTTTCACAAAAAGAAACTTCAATGCTTGACATCTCACCGCTTCCCCAAAATGCACATGCATGGGGAGATCCCTCCAGGGTAATCTAACAGAAGGTAAAGGGCCCCAGGTCATCACTCAGGGAAGAGCCTTCAATTCCTTGTCTGCTGGTCCTCTCATCTGTCTTGACACTGCTGGTCCTTCCTCCTCCCTGACAGTCTCTGTTTTCCTTTTGGTATCAATACTTTCTTGGGCCAGGGTCCTGCCCTAGGCTCATGGAATACATTGACAAATAGAACAAAAGCCACTGTTCCCATGGAGTTTACATTCCAGGATGTGGATACAAACAGTAAATAACACAGAAAACAAAAACAACATAAAAGAGCATGTCAGACGGTAGGAAATACTACAGAAAGAAAAGATGATCGGGTAAGGGGGCTCAGAGTGCCAGTGGCATTCTAAGGCAGAATGGTCACATAAGCCTTACTTCTTGAGAAAGCGATATGTGAGCAAAGACTTGGAGGAGGGGTGGGAGATGGAGTCATCAGCATGCATATGGTATTTGAAGTAATCAATCTGGATGAGGTCATCATGAGAATGAATACAAATATATAAGAATGTCCTTGCCGAAACCGGTTTGGCTCAGCGGTAGAGCATCGGTCTGCGGACTGAAAGGTCCCAGGCTCAATTCCGGTCAAGGGCATGTACCTTGGTTGCGGGTACATCCCCGGTAGGGGGTGTGCAAGAGGCAGCTGGTCGATGTTTCTCTCTCATCGACGTTTCTAGCTCTTTATCTCTCTCCCTTCCTCTCTGTAAAATAAATAAATAAATAAAATATATATTAAAAAAAAAAAAAGAATGTCCTGCCGGCTCAGTGGATAGAGCGTCGGCCTGTGAACTGAAAGGTCCCGGGTTTGATTCCGATCAAGGGCATGTACCTTGGTTGCGGGCATGTACCTACTGGGGGTGTGCAAGAGACAGCTGATTGTGTTCACCATCCAAAGACAAGTTGTTTACGTCATCATTTATCCCCTCTTCTACCTGCCCCAACCCCCTTTCCCTCTTTAATCAGCATACTGTTGTCTATGAGTCTTTTTCTTTTTCAGATCTTTTCTGAGAGAATAGGATATAGTTCAGCACCACAACAACATTCAACAAAGGGGATAAGGGGTACATAAAACAGTGCAAACTCCCCCACCAAAAAAACCCTCAGCACAAATGGTAAGACTTATAAAACTATATAATGTAGAACCACAATCTAGAATTTAAATCCCAAATAACCACTACCTAGGATGGCTGTGGGAATAATTATGGGACTCTCTCAGAGGCTTAAGGCAGATAGCTCTTATAGGAACTGGAATCATGAAGTTGCCAGGAGCTGAGGCCTAAGTCACACCCCCTCAATGGATACACATCCTTTCCCATCTGACTTCCTATGCCTTTCTTTGTATGTGGATGAGTACTACTGCCAGTCCCTGGATTCATATGACTTTCAGTTACTTCAGGATTTCTCAGTGCCTCTGGAACATATAAGAATCACTAGAGAGCCTTTAAATATCACAACGATCAGGTCCCATGCCAGATCAATTAAATCAGCATCTCTGGGCGAAGGGCCCAGGCTGCTGCTGACTTCTTTTTTTTTTTTTTTTTTTTAAAGCTTCCTAGATGGTTCTAAGGTATAGCCAGGGCTGGAATTCATGAGAGAAGATTCTCAGAATTCAATTTAAAACTTGTAGGCGAGGCCTCTAATTGGCCCTGTTCATCTCTGCATGTCAAATTATAGGCTTGCCTGTTTATGGTCTGCCCTTAAGCTCTAGACTGTTAAATACCTGCATTAAAGGGTGATGAAGAGCTATAATGAAAACAGGAGCAGCTATAATGAAAACAGTCTAAGAAGAGGTTGCCTATGTGGTGAATGTGCCAGGTGAAGACATCACAGAGTAGACAAATAGGTTGTGTTTTGAAGATTATGACAGGCAAATGCAGAAAACTAGATTAAGTAAACACCCTTCCAGGCCCTGCTGCTCACATGGCCAAAAAGGAAAGGAACAACAACCTTAGAGGACTCATAATTTGGTGGAAGTAAAAAGACAAAAATTCATGAAATACTGAATTTGCAAGAATATAGAATGATCCTTTGGCCTGATGTGGAGGAACTGTGGAAGATGGCTGATGTCAGTGAGTCCTGGCTATCTGGCACTAAGCAGAATACAAAAAATGTTGGCAGGTGTGGGAAGAAATGCTGGAATCCTCTGTGGTAGCATGAGAGAGGGCAGTTTCCTTCTGTGGGAGGGAGAGACTTCCCTGTAAATGGGAAGAAGTTTCATTAATTTCCAGCATTCCATATTGCTGGCTTTGCATTATTTGGGACAGAGGTCCAGGGTCCCCACTCAACTCCAAAGAGCTAAGCTGGGCATACACTGAAAAAGGAAATAAAATAGAGAGTGAATTCCCAGCCTAGTGGGCGGTGTGGCCTTGGAGTTGAAGTAATGAACATACTCCCTTGATTCATTGACAAATTTCTGAAGCCTATCCATTTGGAAAAAAAGTAAAGCTATAGCCAAATAGATTCCAGATGGAAAAAGGATGACCTAAACATGAAAAAAAACAAGAAGAGATAAAAATACACATGAAGAAAATATAGGAAAAGACTGACAGATCTGCTTGCCAAAAAATACCAGAAAAGACAAAACAACTGAAGACACACACATTTAATAATCACAAAATATAATGAAATCCTAAAGTTCAGTAAGAAAAAGGCAAACAGACCAATAGAAATGTGAGCAAAGGATATAAACAGATAATTCAAAGTATTATAAGAACTATAAGAGATCAGTAAGTATCACTCATAATTAAAGAAATCCAAATTAAAACAAGATACCAATGATACCTCCCAGATTAGCAAAATTAAAAATTTGACAATTTCCAGGATTGATAAGAAATATTAGTAGTAATAAGAGAGAGAGGCAGAAATATTAGTAGTAAGAGATATCATATTCCTGCTGTAGAAATGTAAATTCATGCAACTGTTCTGAGGGGCCATCTGACAATGTTTTTATGTTTGGGTATAGCAAGTATTGAACAAAAAACTATCTCAGAGAGAATATTCAAAGAAAAATGCACACATATGCAACAAAAATTGAGGATAATCTAAGTTAATCAAAAGAGGAATGTTTAAATAAAATATGGTACTCAAAATATGGGAAAAGCTGTTTAGGAAAAAATGAGGTGAATTTCCACCTGGGAAATATTAACCACAGAACTGCAAGTAAAATAGCAACTTATAGAACAACTAGAGGCCCAGTATACAAAACTCATGCACAGGAACGGTCCCTAGGCCTGGCTGGTGATCAAGGCCAATTGGTGCCTTCCTTCTGGCTGCCAGCCAGGGCCTCCCTTTCCCAGCTGTCAGCTCCTGGCCAGGGCCTTCCTTTGTTCCACGCCACCCCATATTGGTCAGCGCATTTCATTTTATGAATTTAGCACACCTGACAAGAATATAATGAGAAATGAATTTACAAGCCAATCTCATGAAGGAGGAAGCAAAAATTTACCAATAATATGAAAAGACTACTGGCCCTGGCTGATTTGGCTCAATGGATGGAATGTCAGCCTGTGGACTGAAGGGTCCTGAGTTTGATTCCAATCAAAAGCACGTGCCTTGCCAAAACTGATTTTGCTAAATAGATAGAGCGTCGGTCTGCGGACTGAAAGGTCCCAGGTTCGATTCTGGTCAAGGGCATGTACACTGGTTGCGGGCACATCCCCAGTAGGGGGTGTGCAAGAGACAGCTGATTGATGTTTCTCTCTCACCGATGTTTCTAGCTCTCTATCCCTTTCCCTTCCTCTCTGTAAAAAATCAATAAAATATATTAAAAAAAAAAAAAAAAAAGCATGTGCCTGGGTTGCAGGCTCGATCCCCAGTGGGGAGCATGCAGGAGGCAGCCAACCAATGATTCTGTCTCATCATTGATGTTTCTATCAGAACTACTACTCCCAGAATTCCTAGTGCTCCCGCACTGTGGGTTTTCCCTTTCTGCTCTGCCTCTGTCCCATGTTCTCCTGCTCTGCCAACTCTTCCAAGCCGCCAGCTCTCCCTCTCTGCTCTCCGTCTGACACCTGTGTATGCAAATTAACCCACCAGCTTTATTGGGTTAATTTGCATACTCATTCCTGATTGGCTGGTGAGTGTAGCAGAGGTACGGTCAATTTACATGTTTCTCTTTTATTATATAGGAGGATAGTAGTTTCATAAAAATAAAATTAAAGAAACTAAAATAAAAAAAAATCCCAAGGGCTTAGCAAGTCATTTTAGCTTTAAAACTCTGGATAATCATCTGAATCATTTCTTGAACAAGAGAAAATATATATATTTCCACACCAATAATCATTAAGTGTTGTTTCAACCCAAAATTCTCTCCATATAAACAGCTAAATGATCTCCAATTTAGTATAGAGTACGTGAAAAGCTGCCTCAAAAAAGCCAAAATATACCAAGAAAATATTTTCATTTTATCAGATGAGACTAAATTTACACTACTGTAACTGACATGTAACTTTTCAGGAAATAAATACAATTAGTTTGGTCTGTTGTGTAAACTCAGGATTATTCATTTATTTTTTAATTTTTAAAATATATTCTATTGATTTTGTTTTTACAGAGAGGAAGAGAGAGGGATAGATAGTTAGAAAGATAGATGAGAGAGAATCATCGATCAGCTGCCTCTTGCACACCCCCTACTGGGGATGCGCTCACAACCAAGGTACATGCCCTTGACCGGAATCGAACCTGGGATCTTTCAGTCCACAGGCCGATGCTCTATCCACTGAGCCAAACCGGTTTTGGCTATTCATTTATTTTTTTATGAGCTGACAATTAATGGAATTAAGTACCTCAATCAAAAGAACAGATATGGTTTGTATGAGTGAAATTACCTGAAAAAGGTCACGAAGAACTGTACCAGGTCCATAAAATTGCTGTGCTGGGAGAAGGCAATCTGTGACAGAGAAACAGGTGGGTTATAAAACTGCACCATTAACTCAGCCTTTTGGTTCAATAGTTAAGCTGAAAACATACTTTCAATTCTAAACAAGAGATTAATGTAATATTTTTCACTTGAGGAAAAGTGCCTCATCCCTTTAGTTTCTTCTCTGGTTTAACTGCCAACACAAAAGTAATACAGCAGGTACTTCAATAAGATTTTATCCTTATAACGTTGATGAGATGCCACAGGAACTTGACTCTTGTTTCTATCAATTAGACTATGGTTTTGTTATATGTTGTTTTGCTTACAGAATCCATCAATGACGTTGAGAACTAACTTACTGTATTCCATGGCTTCCACAACCTCCTCCAGTGCCCCTCTGCTCATGACAACAAACCTACGTTCTTAGAGGCTGAAATTGAAGACATCTCATACTAATGACAGGCAAGTCAGTTTGCTTGCCACCTCCTTGTGCCTTCATCCAGACAAAATACTCTGCTGGTTTGCTTCAAATTCCAATTGTTGATCTACAGTGTGGAAGGAAGCCTCATCTCATGCCCCTCATTTCTTCAACATTTATGTGTTCAGTATGTACTCAATTCAGGATAATATCTCAAATCTTACTATACTGAGTATCAGCTGACAATCAACATAACATCTGTTGGAATTTAAATAATTTCATTATACAGTGAATAGTCTTTATACCAAAACTGTAAAATATTCCTAGTGTAGTTAATCAAAACCACTATTAAGAAAAAACGCTGCCAATTAAACTATGATAAAATGCTTTTAAAATCATTAACTGTATGATTCACCTTGATTTCAGATATTAGAATATGAAAATATGTGCACCTTAGGATTTATTACTAAGTATGACAATCTTATCCTTATTATTACCTGTAGTACCTGCCAGCTATTATGGTGTATTCCCTACTTACTTTTTTTTTTTTTTTTTTTTTTAGGGAAACAGAGCCTTCTTTGGAGAGAAATGATACTACAGACAAAGCAATTATTGAATAATTGAATAAGTGTTATAGTACAGACAATATGTATGACAATCAAAGAAGTAAATGATTTTTACAAATCTCACCCAACCCCTTATCTTTGTCAGGAAACAACTCCCATCTTGCAGTAATGCAAGAAAAGTACTATGCCCAGGCCCCAGCACAATAGCATTTCAATGCTTTGCACTCTTTTTAAACGATTTTCTAGAGAGGATAGAAGGAGAAAGGGAGAGAAAAAAACATTAATCGGTTACCTACCATAGCGGCCCCAATTAGGAATCAAACCTGCCACTTTTCAGTATAAGGGATGATGCTCCAACCAACTGAGCCACACTAGCCAGGGCTGTGCTTTGCACTCCTTTAATAGCCAGACTGAGAGAGGCAGAAGAGGTTTCCTCTGCTTGCCTTTTGGACGGTATTCTTTTCTTTTTTTAAATATATTTTATTGATTTTTTTTTTACTGGTTTCAGTAAGAGCACAGGAACTTTGTTGCTGATTACTATATCTTAGTGCCTAAAGCAAGACTGGCATGTAAGAGGTGCTTAATAAATATCTGCTGAATAAATATGATACTTGGAAAAACAATGACCTCACTTCCCCCATAATTCAGTAAGACATGACTGAGTTTTCTTCTAAGAACTGGGGCTCATGGTTACATCCATAATTTAATTTAAAAAAAATCAATATATTTTTATTGATTTCAGAGAGGAAGAGAGAGATAGAAACATCAATGACAACAGAGAATCACTAATCGGCTGCTTCCTGCGTTCCCCCTAATGGGGATTGAGCCAGCAACCTGGGCATGTGCGCTGACTGGGAATCAAATCATGACCTCTTGGTTCATGGGTCAACGCTCTTTTGAGTTATACTTTTAAGTTCTATTTTTCAAGATGCTATCAGATTTTTTTTTATGATTATTATAAAAATATTTAAATGTGCTGAAACCGGTTTGGCCTGCGGACTGAGGGGTCCCGGGTTCGATTCCGGTCATGGGAATGTACACTACTGTGGGCACATCCCCAGTGGTGGGTGTGCAGGAGGCAGCTGGTCGATGTTTCTCATCGATGTTTCTAGCTTTCTATCCCTCTCCCTTCTTCTCTGTTTAAAATCAACAAAATATATTTTTAAAATGTTTAAATGTGTTTATGGACTTTTCTAATACTAAAAATGAGAATTTTTATAATAAAATCTACTTAATTCAGAGAAGAAAATCTCATTACAATTTATCTTTTATTAGAAGCTTTTATTATTATTTTTTAAATATATTTTATTGATTTTTCACAGAGAGGAAGGGAGAGAGATAGAGAGTCAGAAATCGATGAGAGAGAATCATCGACCAGCTGCCTCTTGCACACCCCCTACTGGGGATATGCTAGCAACCAACGTACATGCCCTTGACCGGAATCAAACCCGGGACCCTTCAGTCCCCAAGCCGATGCTCTATCCATTGAACCAAACCGGTGCCGGCAGAAGCTTTTATTCTTTAAGTCTTTATTGTTGAAAGTATTATAGATGTCCCTCCTTTCCACCCCATGGACCCCTTCTGTACCGATTCCACCCTCTTCCCAGGCCTTCAACATACTATTGTCTGTCCATGGGTTATGCACATATGCTTCTAAGTTCTTTGGTTAACCTCTTTCTGCCCTCCCATACCCTCTAAAATTTGTCAGTCTGTTGTATGCTTCAATGTCTTTGAGTCAATTAAGCTCCCAATGTCATTATTCCCCCTTTCTAAATAGTAGGTATCACTCTCCATACTCAGGACATCTAGAATTTATGTCCCTGTACATTTACACACCTGCTGCTGACTCAATTTTCAGTGACATGTTTGATTAAGATGTGCTTGCAGGAGCGGGGAGGGATGCTCAGTGTGTGTTAAATAAATTCTAAAAACAAAACTCTGAAGCCCAGCTAGCCTTAGGACTTGGGTAGGATAAGGAGGATCTGCCCTGCTAAGCACTAATTTTGTGTGTCAGCCAAACAAGTGATTTCAAATGGCTGTATTACTTCACTTGATCTTCCTGTCACTAGAGTGTCCTCCCTTCTTAGCCATCCCATCATCCACTGGGAAATGGCTCTCTTCTTTACATTCTCTCCAACACTTGATCCACTTCTTTTAAAGGCTGGGGGAAATCACATGTTACCTGTGTATATAGAGATAACCTGGAAAAAATGATTCCTGTATTCTTCTGTCTACAAAGATCTCAATATCTGACTTTTTAATTCTTGTAGGAGAAAATCAAGGTAATTTCCCACCTCCCACACTAAAGCAGATGGACCTTTGCATCCTAAGAACTAGAGAGGGTTCTCAAACTCTGGAGAGCTTGCCACAAAGTCTGAACCCCTGACCCTATTCCTACTTCTGTAGCTTTAAGCTTCCCAGGTGATTACAATGCTGGTGTTCAGAGACCACACTTCAGGAAACTGAAATATTTTTAAAATATCTTTCCTCACTCCTTCCCCTGGACAATTTAGTTAGTTGCAATGAAAAAAAATTAACATTTTTACTTGAAAGGTTTGGTCCCAAAAGAAAATAACTTGGATCTTTCCCAGGGTAGGAGTGAGGGGAAGGATGAGGGTAGAGGAAGAGAGGATAGTACTTTGAAATAAAAAGAGGCAAGACACAAACCTTGAGACTGGGAAATGGAGGGAATGAAGAGGATGTTTTAGAGTTTTGAAAGTGCCAAGGAATATAGGGTGTAAGGGAATGTGGGGTGACTGCCTGGTGGGCCTGGGAGCTTTGGAGCATCAGTGCTTATTCTGTGTCCAAGCCTGTCTGTCACACACATGGGAGTGAGGACGGCTGCCTTCAGACAAACCTCATGGCCATGGGCTAGAGCGCTGGGAGCAGTCAGTGAGTATAGATCAGAGGTCCTTTCCCAGATCTCTGGTCTGTTAAGCCTGAGGTTTCTGCACATCACTGAGCGAAGGGAATGGAGCTCTGTGAACACAAGCTGAAAATAAATTTATAAACTATGGTAGGTAGAGGCTGAGCCCCAGCATTCTCGAAAAATAAGACCTTTCTTATACTCCACTACCTCTTCTTTTAAAACAAAACAAAACATTTTACATCTATTAGATATAATTTATAAAGCAAGTACTCACAAAAACTTAAGTGAATGAGTATGTGAATAAATATTGAATGAGTAGGGAAAGACCACCTTTAAATATACAAGGATTGAAAAAAACAGGAAAAGGCCTCTAATCTTTTATCTTCACAAGAATGATCTTCATTGTTTGAGCATGCAAATCAGGGAGAGGATGGGAAAGGACAGTTGGACGCCCTGTGAGGCGATGCAATCTTGACTCTGAAGCAGCACTCATCAGGCTCTGAGAAAACCCAAGTCTGTGTGTACCCAGCAGAAACTGTGGGCGGCTCCGAGGCCCTGAGGCCAGCAGCTCCTCCAGGGCTCAGCTCTACCTGGTTTGGGAGCCCACCAAGACTACAGCCCCTCTGCTGCTCGTCCACCAAGAGATCAACCTCTGCAGATGCTGAGGGTCTCACATTAGGATCCAAAAGTGCTGAAGTGGACATGCCTGCCATATAGGCTCCTGGCTTCACCATGCCAATCTTGCCACATAGTTCTGGTCACTGCAAGGCTGGAAGCCAGGAAAGGACTGTTTCTCCTATAAGAACTTAGTCCTGTCTACAAACAGCTTTCCACTCAGGCCTCAGATATGCTGAGGATGGAAGATTCTGTGACCACTGGCTGAGCATATTCTAACCTGGTCTAGTGCTGCCAGCTCTTGGAGTTTTGCTGTGATACAAAATAACTTTCTTTAAAAAACACAAACAAATAAACCCCAAAGTTCTATATGAAACTCTATGTTGAGACCACAGGCCCTGGACTGGATCCCAGTGCTCATTACCTGGCCTCACACACCACCCACCTAATGCTGGTTTGTGCTGGCACAAAAACTGTATACCCAAGCTCTGGCCAGAGCCCCAGGCTGGTGAATACCACCGAGCCACTCATTCCTGACATGCAAGCTAACACTCACCATCTG